TGAATAGATGGCACCCAGCCAGTTTGGGTGTGTATCCGCCTCTCCCAGTCCACTGACTCAAATGTTAATCTCCTTTGACAACACCCTCACAGACACACCCAGGCACAGTACTTCGCATCCCTCAATCCAATCAAGTTGACAGTCAATGCTAACCATCACAAAGTATTTCAGCTAATAAATGAAAAATGAATGATAGAATGACACCATTTTGTAATCCCCAATGAATGGATACGGGCACATAGCATGAACAGCTGCTAAGATAACATGAGAGATGACAGCTATTATGTGCCTCCTAAAACACTGCCAAGTACCACCAATTGTCTTGACAAAAATCTGATGCATTATCTGGATCTAGTTGCAGATTTGCAGGAGGTTATCAGGAGGACAGAGGAAAGTGCTGATCTGTACCAAAAATATACATTCTGCAAAATCCAGACTCTGGAAGGCTCCACGTGTCAAATTGTCTGGGTTTTCCAACAGACAAACTATAGCAAAATGGCAGGTGTGAAGGAGACACCTGTAGATTAAAAGTGATTTAAAATACATTGTATTTTTAAAAAATGAACAAAACTAAGGATAGACATTGGAGTGATGAACTATTTTTGAAACATAAGTTATGTACTACTTCTAAAGATGAAGTTACTGGTAATAATGGAGATGGAAAGCCTGGAAGGGGTATCTGGAATGCACAGCAAAGTTCTGTTTTCTAACCAGGGTGATATACTGATAATATTTCATTAAGCAATACATCTTGTGTGTATATATTTTGTTTTACCTTGAAATAAAATTAATTATAAAAATAAATCAATCTAGTCACCCACATTTTATGAATGGTTATCTCTGGATGGTCAAGGAGCTGGCAATTTTTATTTTATTTTTACTCCTTCATGTGTATTTATTTTTGTTTCTAGTTGTACTTACACTAAACCTGTCTTATATATGCCATTTAAATCTTTTTTAAGTAGCTGTGACTGCAGCACCATGCCATCATGCCTACCTTTTTTTTTTTTTTTGGATATAGAGACAGGGTTTCACCATGTTGCCCAGGCTGGACTTGAACTCCTGAGTTCAAGCGATCCACCCTCCTTGGCCTCCCAAAGTGCTGGGGTTACAGGTGTGAGCCACTGCACCCAGCCTATTTATAAAATGACATTTTCAAATAATTTTTTAAAAAACTAACCACATGGCATCTAAGCAGTACTTTATTTAAAATGAAGGAAAAATTTAGGATGTAATAATAGATATTTTATCCAATGGCTATGGATTCTTTCTTTTTCAAAACTTTAAACAGTTTCATTTTTCTAGAAGCAGTGACATAGTCTCGTGAAAAGACTCAGGCTTGCAAAAACATTTTCCTGACTGAACTTGGTTGGAGTCCATGAAAGGCTTAGTGTGAGTTTACTTAGGCTTCGAAAATCTGATAATAATCACCTCAGAGACCATGATGTTAAATGAGGTTGAAGGAAAACAATTTATAAGGTACAAGGTCCTATGCTAACACGTTACCCCTTGTGTTTGATCTAATGGGATCTGCAAAATCAGTTCTCCTCTCCTTGCAAAAATAAACAGAAACCTAATCTTCCAAGAAATGCTTTTAAAATGTTGGATAATTTGTATAGTAATGAGTGTTCCTTTCAATTTTATCTTTCTATCATAATATCAATAGTTATTTGCTTAAAAAAAAAAAGAAAAATGTATTTTACCTAGTGTAAAGATAGAGTTGAGTTTGGTTGTATTTATTATGGTAGAAGGGTTGTTCTCTTTTTCTTTCTTTCTTTTTTTCTTCTTAACAAAAGCATTGCTTTAGCACTTAAAAATAGAGAAATATTAGGAACTATCATTATATAATAAAAATTGGATTAACTATATATAAATATTTTAAGATTTTTGGTGCAAAATTGGGCTTAATTCATTTTATTGGCTCTATCCCAGCTGAAGAATTACATTCTGATAATCTGAATATAATCCCCAGTTCCTGTGGGATGAATTATTTTTCACTTTTTCTTTTAATATTGCATAAAGTTTATGACACTAGTGAGTTAATGCTCTTAGATTACAACTTTTCGTGCTAGCTTTTTCCCAAGGAAATACAAATAAGCAATTTCTGTGTAAATGTGTACTAATTTTTAAAAACATGTAAATATGAGTATTATTAGAAACTATTTAATTTCAGTAACTGCTATAACTTTTTAAGAAGGCAGGTGGGTGTTTGTTGGTTATTTTGTGCATGGGATAGAGAGGGGTATTTTTTGTTTGTTTGCTCATTGGTTGGTTTTGCTTTGGTCTTTCATGCTTGAAAATATTTAGCTAAAGAAAGTATGATGTGGAATTGGACTTGTACTTTTGAATAATTTGTCATTTTTTCCCAAGCAAAAGTTCATGTTGGAACCCAAATATAAATAAACTAGAAGAAGAATATGATGCTTAGTAAAAGAAGCAAGTCATAAAAGACCATGTATTATGTGAATTTATTTATATGACTTGTCCAGAATAAGCAGATTCATAGAGAAAGTAGATTAATGCTTGCCATAAGTTGTGGGAGGAGGAGGGTCATGGGTACAGATTTCCTCTTTGGGTTGATGAAAATGATCTGTAATTAGATAGTGGTGATGGTTGTTTAACTGTATGAATAGACCAAAAACTCCTGAAGTATATACTGTACCATACTCTTTCTGAGGCAGACTGGAAAGGGGGGCTGATGCCCTGCCCTCCTGGCCTTTTCTCTCACCCACTCAGGGCTGGCTGTGAAGACTGGATATGGCTTGAAAACCACTGGCCTAAGAGATCAAAACTTTTACATTGCTAGGTGTGGAGTTTACTCCCAGGCAAAAGCTAGAGCCATTCCTCATTAAGTATTTCTCTCTATATTAACAGTGCACTAAGAGCAGAAAAGAAATAAATTGGGTCATAAATGCTTATCCTTACACACAGGTCGTCTTTATGCATTTTATTATGGAAACTTTTTTTTTCCTTCCTTATCAACACATTCAGAGTAAACATATTTCTAAACTTAATTATCTGCAGTTGTGATACACACTGCAAAAGATGTGAACATCCTTTACAGCGGATGATATATCCTTTTGGCTTTATTTTCAGACCCAGATACTCCTTCTCTAAAAGTTTTCTTATTTGCTCCCAACTACATTCTGCTTTTTCCTTTTCTGCCTAGTGAGAGCTGAATAACCTCAAACCATCACTCTTGTAACAGCCCTTTTTCCTCCACAGGGTTTCCTTGAATTCTTTTTCTTTTCATGACTAGCTTTTTCTTCTGCACTTTTGCTTTGAATTTGGGAAGGCCTATATCCATATAACTGCAGATTATTATGTAGTTAATATTCAGTTATTCAGGAAAAGATTGGTCATTGTGAATCTGATGGCAAGGCCTGGTGATAGCATGGGGCTGGCACCTTTTTCCAGGTTTTTGTTTGTTTGTTTTGTCAGTGTGCAATCTGATGAGTTTTAAATGGTAAGTAGCTGTGGCTTAATCATGCCTAACCTCTGCTTTGGAAGCCGAGAGGATCAAAAGTTCCCTTAATTATTTACTAGAAGCAGACTTATTTTGACAGAATGGGAATGGATAGAAAGTGGCAAAACTGTATAACGGTTGACTCAGAACGTAGTTGTTTTCAAAAACAGTTGGGTGTTTAAGTTTTTGGCTGGGTGCAGTGGCTCACACCTGTAATCCCAGCACTTTGGGGATCTGAGGCAGGTGGATCAGTTGAGGTCAGGAGTTCGAGACCAGCCTGGCCAACATGGTGAAACCCTGTCTCTACTAAAAATACAAGAATTAGCCGGGCCTAGTGGTGTGTGCCTGTAGTCCCAGCTACTTGAGAGGCTGAGGCATGAGAATTGCTTGAACCTGGGAGGCAGGGATTGCAGGGAGCTGAGATCGCGCCATTGCATTCCAGCCTGGGTGACAGAGCAAGACTGTCTCAAAAAAAGAGCAAGTTTCTGTTCGCAAAACAAGTTTCTGTGAGTCCTGGGCATGCATGTTGTGGAGGAAAAAATGAAGGGTGGGGACAGGGAGCAGGCAGCACGTAAGCAAATATACTTATCACTCAGTTTCTGTTAGTATGAGAAAGTTTCTCTCTCTTTCTCTCTCTCTCAGGGAGTGATGTATAATAAGTGGTAGGTTGAGCAGCCAACTTGGAGCCAGAGGATCATGGTCTTCATTCAGTTCTATGCAGATAATGTAAATATTTTAAATACATCTTCAGAAAGATCACAGTTGATATCTGTATTGCAAATAGAAACTAGAATTGTGATATACAGTAGACAACTGGGGCTTGGAGAACAATAGTTCGTGGAATAGGATGATGGCGTGGGACTGGGGTGGTGTTATCCCCTATCACCCTAAATGATTATCAATCATTAGAAATACCCAAGGAAACAGGGACACTTTATACCACTATTAAAAATGTGGTTCAGGTAAAATAACTATATGTCTACCTAGTTGGGAAAGCACAAAGAAATCGACAGCATTCCTTCCCAACTAAAGCACCAACGTGGCCCTGCTCTTTCTTTCTTATTTATTGTCTTTTCTTTTTTTCCACTAGAATATATACTGGGTTGTGTGGAGCCAGCGTTGGGTCTATGGCTAATTTCCATTAGCTTAGTTAAAACCATATAATAGCCATAATACTCTGTCATCAGTAAATTAATAGCAAATTGCAAGTTTTAAAGTGATAAGAATCAACCAATAACGTTTCCAAAGCTAATTTTACTTTTTGGCCCAAGTGTGAAAATACTGGGGAAATGAACTAGTTATGGTTTATTTTCAACAGAGAATGAAAAATTATAAACTTATTACTGGATATATTTAGTATGAGTTATTATTGCCAAGTGTTTTTATGAGACTGTGCTTTACTTCAAAAATGCTTAAAACGACCAAAACTGTTGACATTTAATTGCACCAATTTACATCTGCTCTGATTGTGTTATAGATAGTTATTGCCTTCAGTTTTACTAAGCGAAGTGTAATTTTTTTTTCAACCTTATAGACAACGTCTGGGGAAGATGTCCGGGACTTCACAAAGGTGCTTAAGAACAAGTTCAGATCAAAGAAGTACTTTGCCAAACACCCGCGACTTGGTTACCTGCCTGTCCAGACAGTTCTTGAAGGTGACAACTTAGAGACGTGAGTTTGATTTTACTATTAAGTCTAGTGTGGACATTTATGTCTGATGTTGTCTTTTTTATGTTAGTAACAAAAGAGAAATTGTTTAATACCAATTGCATTTTAGAAGAGGTACATTAAACTTGGAATCAGTCTTTACAACATGAAGTTTTACTATTCACTTTTGACATTGTCACAGTCAGAATTTCAATTTTAACCTTGTACCTGTCTTTAAACTTAAAAAAATATGTATTAATGTATCAACCTGAATAAGTGGCCATCTCTTTTGTGATCATCTCTCTTCTTTTTAAAAATACGTAAATTGTGGCATTATATAGTCTTTCATTCTTTTATTTATTTTCCTTCATTTTCCCTAATGGGGGCGTTTTGCTGTTTCTCATAGTATGCTTTACACTCCTTTTGCATCTCTTTAATATAAATTTATTATATATAATACTTTATTGATTCAGATATTTATGCTGAAATTCTATCAAAATATTACATTATATTTTGAATCTATTTTTTATTAAAAATAGAAACAACAAACTGTGATAGCTTTATATATTACATTATATACATTATATATACATTAAATATATAATGTAATCTATAAAGCTCTCTTTAAATATTTCTTCAAAGTGTATCATTTGAGTTGGCTAGCATAGATGAAAGTTTCAAGATGGTGAAGTTATGGGATTATAAAGCAAAGGGAATAAGAATTTATGGCCTGAAATGAAAAGAAAAAAAAGTTTTTCAATGACCTAGAAAAAAATGCAAAGAAGTCTTTTTAAGGTACTAAACAATTATGTGTTAAGATCAAAATAGATAGATTTTAAATCTTTGAATTTCTTTTTAATATGTCAGCATAAATATTCCTGCTAAGGCCATTTTCTTGTGTTGAATCTTGGGGAAAATGAGCTTTTGTTACTAATCATCAGCAGAGTGCCTAGTTGAATATCATAATGAAGTTCTAGTCAGAGAAAGACACCATCTCAGATAGCTAGAGAAGAGAAACTCAAAAGTGTGAAGTTTTCTACTTTCTAAACAATAGAGAAAATTGTTGTAAGAAGTATAAAAAAAAGTCAAGTGCATTTTTTTTGAAATGAAACTTTAACCTTCAAATTCATAGTTCATTTTATTTTGTACATGAGAGAAAATCAGGAAATGGTAATATTTCAGTGCATTGTGATAGTCGATGTCTCAAACACGTCAACATAGGAGAATACACTGTTCAGTCTGCAGACCAAAATAGATTTTGTAAAAATCCCTGTAGACATCAAACTTTGTTAAATGTATGTTCCAGTTTATCTCTTTTGTTTGTGGAACTGCTAAGAAAGAGAAGAAAGACCACGGCCAAAGCATAGGAGATATATTTATCCCTCTATAGGTAATGTCATGTGTGTGTATACAGAAAGAAATACAGTGCAAATGCATGTGTAGATAGGCCCATATATAACACATACACACAGAATGTAAGAAAAAATTTTGACTTTTTGATTACTTTATATCAAACTGTGTACAATTAAGATCTATGCCTGTCTTTCTTTTTTTCTTTCTTCTTGAGACGGAGTCTTGCTCTGCTGCCCGGGCTGTAGTGCGCTGCCATGATCTCAGCTCATGGCATCCTCTGCCGCCCAGGTTTAAGTGATTCCCCTGCCCCAGCCTCCTGAGTAGCTGGGACTATAGGCGTGTGCCACCACTCCTGGCTAATTTTTTTTGTATTTTAGTAGAGATGGGGTTTCACCATGTTGGCCAGGATGGTCTCAATCTGCTAACCTCGTGATCTGCCCCCCTCAGCCTCCCAAAGTGCTGGGATTACAGGCGTGAGCCGCCGCCTCTGGCCAGATCTAGTCCTTCTAATCATTCTTTTGCATAGTACAGTTTAGAAAAGATTTTATTAAAGTAATTTCAATTTAAAGAGAGCTATTCGAATACATTCAGGAAAGGTAGACTTTTGGTCCTCTTTTTGATTTGTGGAAATGCTTTTGTCCTTTCCTTCAAAAAGCTGTGTGATAATACATTCTTATTTGTTTTAGTGTAATATGTGGTTTAACTGTGCTGACACCTTAGGATAAAGACAAAAGTGTACTTTTGTTTATGTCCCATCCAATTAACCTTTGGAATGCATAATTCTGAGGTGCAGAATTATTACTTGGTGCTTTAATTTACGGGATAATTTGGTAGGTTTGAACTAAACGATGTGCCTTTTAATCCTTTGCTAAACCATTGGCATTTTGCAACCCAAATATCTACATCCTTTCCAGGATTCATGCAGATAGATACATATTTATACTCCTTTAAAACATTTTTAATTTGCCTTTCAATGTCAAAATAATCATTGGCATCAATCACCCTATTCTGAGTGACTCTATTAGGTAAGAATTAACAGGAAAGCATGTCAAATAATTTTGTGCTAAGATTTGGGGGTATAATTCTGAAAGTGCCTCACTTCAGTTCATTCAATTGAAAATGAATTTATGAGCATTTTTAGTGAGGGGAAAACAAGAGAAAGATAGGAAGGAGTATAAGCTTGCGTCCAATGCCCCAAGATCCTTATTGGAAAGATTTATGAACTACTGGTTATAGTGGGCAGGTTTTCTTTTTTTAATACTCAACCAAGCTCTTGGGATTTGATATAGTTCACTTTTCAGCTGAGCCCTTTCTAGGACAGGGCCGCTTAATCTTCTGGTATAACAATTTATGTGAGTGAGTAATAAAAAAGTTTGATTTTGTTTATTCTCCTATTTGTGGGAGGAGAACATTGGAGAAAAACCAGTGAGGTGGCAAATGTGTTGAAGTTATTTATGAAGCTAATTAGAATTTTCTTTCCCTTCTTTCTTTTTCATCCTTGCAAATGTAATGTTTTATCTTCTGCCCAGTAATTACACATGCATGCATGGAGGAGGGGATTTATGGGGAAAATGAATTATTAGTAGAAGGGAGTAAACAAATCCATGCTAAAGTTTATTCAATTAATTTTGTAACTATGTAAAATATTTCAGAAAATAAATCAATAAATGAGTAGAGTTTGATTAAAGAATACTCCATTGAAAATAAACTTGAAGAACAAGCTAAAATAGTAGCAAAAGTAATTCAAGAATTGTGAGAATTATTATTGGCTAAAGAGATAGGTTCGTTTCCCTAAAGATTAAAAAAGGTAAAATAGACACCTCCCCCTGGTATTGGTTAAATGGGAGTAGATAAATTTAAAGATTTTGTTTTAAGCCTTTGCTATAGCAAGAACCAAATACATTGTAAGTTTATCATCACTGGACTGGGAGGAAGCGTAGCAGCTAAGTTGACACCTGAAAGATTAATAGGGCTAGTTGTTGTGTGTTTGGTGTGGGAGGTGAGGAGGGAGAGTTTCTGGTCAAAGGAAGCATTTTCAAAAGCCTGGAGGCAATATACTTTCAGAAACTGGGGTGGAAAACTAGCAACAGTGGCAAGAAATGGTAGTGGAGAGAGATGCTGGAACCATATAATGAAGGGCCTTCTAAGCCATGCCAAGGTGTTTGGAGTTTATTCTGAGAGCAATGGGGAGCCATTGGGGGTCTTTAAGTAAAAGCATCAGGAATCCCACTTACCCTACTCTATGACAAATGGATTGAAGAAGGCAGAACATGAAGAACAAGGAAGAGCTATTGACAATTTAAGGCACTAAAAGGGTCACTAAATTCTTCAAATATATATGTATATCTGGGATCACCTGTTCAAACTCACCTGTTCAGCCACCCTTTTAATGATAGGTTCTAACTATATATATATAAAAAACCCAGATATATACACACACACACACACACACACACACATACCAGATGTATATATACACATATACATATATCCCAAATATATATATATTTAATTTATATATATAATATATAAATATATATTATATTTTATTTGTATATATATTATATATATTATATTTTTTAAAATATATAATATATATTTAAATATATAAAATATATAAATCTTATAAATCTTATATTATTTATATATATTATAAATATATATATATATATATATATATTTAATTTTTCTTTTGAGACGGGGCCTAGTTCTGTTTCCCAGGCTGGAGTACAGTGTCATGATCACAGCTCACTATGTCATTGCAGCCTTGAGCTCTCAGGCTCAAGTGTTCCTCCTTGGAAATTCCTAGGCAGTATGCAGAGTTACGGGGGTCCCCCCAGGGTTAAGAATGACACTGAATGAACAGGCTCCAGACACAAGCCTGTGAGTCAAGCAGAACAAGTTTTTTTATATCAGTTTGCAGATTAAACTTCTGTATAAAATTTTCAGCCTCCCCTGTAGCTGGGACTGCAGGCACATGACACCATGCACAGCTAATGTGTTTATTTTTTGTGGAGATGGCATCTCATGTTACCAATGTTGGTCTCAGACACCTGGGCTCAAGCGATCCTCCCACTTCAGCTTCCTAAGGTGCTGGGATTATAGGTATAAGCCACTGAGCCTGGCCTGAGTTACATTTTATATAATACTAAGTGATACTCTTACCTCAGCTTCCCAAAGTGCCAGGATTATGGACATAAGCCACGGAGCCTGGCCTGGGTTACATTTCATATAATATTTAAGTGTATTTAGTAGAGTCCGATTTCTTGAATATTAGTGTGTGATTGACAAAATCACCTGTTCAGCACCATGCTGAAGGACAGCGATAGGCTGCATTATGAAGCTTGGGCTAACACACACGTTGGTCTTATTTCCAAGCCCTTTTAATGATAGGTTCTAACTATGCAGTTTCTCATTTTCTCCTTTCAGAATTAAATGAAAAAGCTTATCATTTAATCTTTTTTATGCAAATCAGAATACTGTGAAGTCAATGAAGCCCAAGGTTTGGATTTTTTGTCTTTATTTCTTTCCTTAGAAATTTTTCAATTATCTAACAAAATTTGAGAAACCCTTCAGTTCAGCGCTCTACCCTTGCTATTCTCATCTGAGGTCACAGCTCACTTTTGTGATAACTGGTTTAAGTTCGCAAGAACCAGTCAAGCAATTTGACAGAGCTTTTCCAAGGCTGATTAAGATAAAAAATACACACTTTTCTTCTATTGAAGTTCATGGCAAATGTTTTGCTACACTTGAATTTTAGAAATAATCTCTTAAGCATTTACTGTTTTAGAAAGTATATAGCATATATCATTTCACCTGATATTTAACCTATTTCAGGGTTAATGAAGAGCATTGATATGGAAAGAGTATTGACTAATACTATGTTGTTTTATTGTTATTGTATCTATTTTTCCCATATGTAAATTAAGTTTCCTGACAGTATAGATATTCTGACAGAGTGGATAAATGCCTGGTTCTAAAAATAGATCTAAAGAGTCTTAGTTTTTTATCCCAGTAAGATAACATTCAAAAGTCTTTGCTATGCAGACATCAACCTGCACTTCACTAAAGAGAAAAGTAGGCATTTTACATACCTACTTTCTTTTTCTAAGTAGGTATGTTTCATAGAAATAGGAGAATCAAGGTGGTTTGGGATACTTTTGTTTCAATCACTATTAGCTTCTGCAGACTTTATTTAATTAAATAGAGAGCTAATTTTCTTTGTACTTTAAATTTTCTACATTTACTCTCCTTCCTCCTCAGAAAGTTAGGGTTGGAACCAGCTTTTAATTAGGATCAGCTGTTTTCAAAAGTATTACATGGAGACTTGGGAATTCCTGGGCAGTATGCGACATTCCCAGCATTAAGAGTGCCACTGAATGATCTGGCTCCAGACACAAGGCCCTGAGTCAAGCAGAACATGTTTTCTTGTATCAATTCATAGTTTAAATGTCTAACATACATTTTTCTTGAAGAAAATGTATCATGATCTCAGGAAGTTGCCTTCAGTTTTATTTCTGATGTGACATTTTTGGTGGAGTCTGGAGGCAGCATCTACGTTGCATGTTAGTTCAATGGACCTGTGAAGTTGAGGTACTTTGCGTACATCTGGGGTTTGAATTTTTACATTTAAAATTGGATGAAGAACAGAAAAATCTAATTTTACTGCACCTCTGCCATCAACATATAATGTAGTGTTTCGTTTTTAACTTCACCTTTCTAACCAAGTTTCTTCTCTAGGAAAAACAAAAAAATGATTGCATCCCCCCTTGGTATATTATAGAATGTTGTCTTCACAATTATTCTATAATTTTGAGCTATTTTTGAGCATTCTGGTTTTTTCCCCAGTAAGAATGTTTAAAGACGTGTTTGCTGTCGTGTAACAAATATCCTGTAATATCTGTGAAAAGGCCCCTGCAGACTCTTGAATACACAGCATGTTCTCTAGAATACACTGTGGCTTCTGTTACTTTTGATTTCCCCATGGTGGCTCTCAGGGCAACCACATATATAAGCAGAAGATAATTGAGAATCTCCCCACCAGCCCTGCTGCTTTTGTCTTAAATTGCTCTGAAGTGTTTGTTCCGTGACTTTTGTTTCCCTCTCCCTCTTTGCAGTCCTATCACACTCATCAGTATGTGGCCAGAGCACTATGAGTGAGTATTCATAGCCCCACGTGCAGGAGAGGTGTTCTGATCAGTGGTATTAGCATGGGGGTCTTACTAAACTCTTGGTCTAAAATAATACTTCTGTGTTCTGGGTAACAATCCTCATGGTTTGTTTGCATGGCAAATTCATTACTCAAGTAACCTAACATTTCTAATCGTAGAAACTGTCAATATTTGGGCATAAAATTGTTGCTTTGTTTTTTTCCTTTAAAGCCCCTCACAGTCTCCTCAACTGTTTCATGATGACACCCATTCAAGAATAGAACAATATGCCACACGGTAAGAAACTTCGATCAGAGCCCTCCACTGCAGTGACACCCAGAATATATCTATTTCTAATTTATCTCATACCATGACTACACCTTGATTTAAGGAATGCAGTTTTGCAGGAGTCATGATTCCTTTCTATTTGGAATTTGGGCTCTCATATTTTCATGTTGCAATTTGCATTTGACCAAACACCTGCTGTGTATTCTATGAAAAGTAAACCTAAACAGGATGTGATTATCTAGCTAATGAGAATCCAAACACAGTACAAGTAGGATTTAGACACTGTAACCAAATTTCAGTGAATGAAAGTGGGATTGCACGTATTCTCAGGAGATGGTGCACATATGAATTATAATAGGTAATTAAATTTATGCTAATGCTTTACGATAGGGGTTTATTTTAGAGTCTCTAAATAATGTAAAATATAGGCTGATCTTGATGGTGTGCACATATTTTCAGAAAAGTGGTATATACTAGGTGTCTGTGGTTCTAGTAACTAGCTATGCCTAGAAAGGTTAATTCAAGCATCATAAAAATTGTAACATTTGAACTGGGTCTAGGCCAACTAGAATTTCTAGGGGAAAGTCTTGGGCTGATGGAAGAATATACTCAAAACCATTGTGCTGGGAAGGAGCGTGGTTTGTTTACTGAACTGCAGGTAGGGGAAAGGGAAATAGGTGAGAGAGTGAAGAGACAGGAGAGGTCTGATAATGAAAAACCCTGCCACTAAGGAGTTGGCTCATGTCCTTAGTTAAAGGGAAGTCATGGAGAGTTTTTATTATGAGAGGAGCATCATTACATTTGTGTGAGCGTGTCACTCTCACTTCAATGTAGACCAACTAGAGGGTTAAGGAGAGCCTAGATCTGGGAGCACAATTAGAAGATTGGGTCAGTTAGGAGACTTTACAACATGACAGAAGATAAGGACATCAAGGCAGTGGGGATGGAAAGGTAACTCAACATGAGATGTTTTAGTGTTACAGTTTTGTTAGGAGATTTGGATTTTTTTATGTTTTGTCAGAATTTTGACAATTTAAAAATAATTAAGGATGTACATCCAATTGACCGTGTCCTATATGGTCACCTTGTCTAATCTCCTTATTTTTATTTTGCAGACTGGCCCAGATGGAAAGGACTAACGGGTCTTTTCTCACGGATAGCAGCTCTACCACAGGCAGTGTGTAAGTAGATCATGAAATTAGTGCTGCCTGGGAAGGCTGTTTCTTGTACCGTGGTTGTCAGAAACAGTTTTCACTGACTGTGGCTCTGAATCTTGATCCCACTCAAAATTATTAAGTGTGGTTCCAAAAATGTCTACATAGGTTTTATGCTTTCAAGCCGTGATAGTATAAACTCAGTATGTTTATTTACTTTGTTTCATATAAGTTAATGAAAAAGTCTTGCATTTTCAACTTATCTACCTCAGGAAATCAGATTGTTTTATTTAAAATACCAGATATATATATGTATTCATTCAGGTATATGAATATATATATATTCATTCAGGTATATGAATATATGTTCATACCAGGTGTGTGTGTGTATATATATATATATATTCATTCCATTTGTCTCATATTTCTTTTTAATTTAACAAAGGTAGTTTGACAGAATATGTGCCCCTTCTGTGAAATAATCTCCCTTCCACTAGATAACATTTTTTCCATAATATCTGCATTTAGCAACTCTGACCCACACATGCTTAGACGTATACTCCTTCCCTTCATTGAAAACTGTTACTTATTTTATTTTGTTGGAAACTAAGAAAAGCACCACTGACTTTAGAACATTAAAAATTGTATTATATACTGAAAAGCTTTCTAGCCAATTATTTTATTTCTGATTTGCCCATTCGTGTATATTCAACTTGGTTGTGAAACTTTCTCAGCAAATATTTTATCCTGATTATCCCACTATTGTATGTCATCTTACTTTTGAAACTTTTCCTTCTTTTTTGTGCCCTGGAATTCACATTTTTAATATCTAAAAGACTTAATATTGTCTAGTTTATGTGACTTATGAAGTTTTCTTGTGGTTTTGATCTGGTGGGAAGCTATAAAGTAGACAGAAAAGTTGTCAAACATAGTAGTTGGGTGATTTCACTAAAAAAAAAAAAACCTATGGACAGTGCCAGGTTAAAATGCTTTAAGTACTCTAATATAGAACGTTCTCTTGCTGTATTTTCTAAAAATTGTTTTATTTATTGTTATGGATATAAATAAAAGTTATCAGGAGGTTTTCAACTTCAGATTTCAAAGGTTGCATCTCAATACTGGACTGTAATGCAGTGGAGATTTATACATTATCATTTATGTACTCTGAGTGTGCAACAATTCCCAAATCAAAATAATAGTGCATTTATAATGTTTGTTTTATATTTAACCTATTAGTGTACATTTTATGTAAAGTAGTTCAGTAGCTTGACTCTCCCCTAAATCAACAAATTTCCTCAAGGCTGAGCATAGCCAAAGCATTAAAGGAAATAAAAGATAATAATCTGGAACAAAATCTTACTTCTTTAAAACGTTTTGTCATGCCCTGTGAACACAGTAAAAGTTAATGCTCAAATTTAGTATATTGTATCTTCAAATCAAAATAAAAACTATTTTCAGATTTAGCACGTTTCAGAAAAAAGATTTTAAATATTTTCTGAAAAGAAAAGAAAAAAATCAGAAGATTGACAGCCAGATAGATTTTAATATACTGTCATTAGATATATTAACTCATTCACTCATCTGACAGGTAGTTGTTATTAATATATACTTACCGTGTAATGGTGTGCTGGACCCAATTGTGAGAGCTGTTGCTACATTTTCACATGTTTGCAAGCTGTTTGTTAAACAGAGCCCTTATTCAAAATAATTTATATTCATGTATACACAGTTACAATTAAATAAATTAGATTAAAACAAAAATAAAATTAATTCTCAAAACTCATCACACCCTAATGATTTTACTTCATTTCATTAATATCTATGCCCTTGGGATTATTTATTATAAGCTTCTACCCCCTGCAACCCACAGGCCGCGTGTGGCCCAGGGCAGCTTTGAATGCAGGCCAACACAAATTCATAAACTTTTTGAAAACATTATAAGATTTTTTTGCAATTTTTTTTAGCTTATTAGTTATCATTATTGTTAGTGTATTTAATGTGTGGCCCAAGACAATTCGTCTTCTTCCAATGTGGTCAGTGGAAGCCAAAAGATTGAACACCCTGATTTATTGTCTCTCAGGTGTTGTGCAAACGTGTATCTCTTCCCAGTTCCACATTCAGTGAAGTTATAAACTTGAAATTGGCCATGATTAAAGTATTTAAATCATAGAAGTTGCAAATGCTACAAATCAAGGGCTTTTACTTCTGGAGAACCTGTTAAACATTTACCAACTCACTGCCGCCGTGCACCCAATACTGCAGTAGGTCTACAGATGTAGATGCTGTATCCGTGAATCTTATAAACTAAAAAGGAAATAGCTAAGTAGTCCTACCAGAAGAACATGATGAGGACATCTGTGGTAGACAGAATGATGGACCCCCAAAGATGTCCACGTCGTAATCCCTGAAGCCTATGAATATATTCCTTTACATGGCAAAAGGGATCTTGCCGCAGGCTTTAAATGAAAGACCTTGAAATAGGGAGATGATCCTGGAAAATCCAGGTGGCCCGAGTGTAATCCCAAGGGTCCTCATAAGAGGGAGGGAGGAGAGCCAGAATCAGGGAAGGAGATGTAGCAATGGAGGCAGAGGTCAGAGAGAGCTCTGCAGATGCTGCGATGTTGACTTTGAAAATGGGGAATGCACTAATTTACACTCCCACCAACAGTGTAAAAGTGTTCCTACTTCTCCACATCCTCTCCAGCATCCGCTGTCTCCAGATTTTTTAATGTTCGCCATTCTTACCGGCGTGAGATGGTATCTCAATGTAGTTTTGATTTGCATTTCTCTTATGACCAGTGATGATGAACATTTTTTCATA